AAAAAAATGCATTTTTCAAGATGGAAATTGAAAACAGTCTTTTACCAAGAGAAAGCCATCTGTCTAGCTTCTGTCCCATTCAGCTGGGAAGTCAAAGAAGAGGGGAACCTCTAGAAAGGATGCCCCTCCATCTCTCTGAAACACACCCCATCCACCCCATGGATGATTTTTTAAAGGTTGCCTTCAATTTGGTGAAAAGACTGATAATTGCTAAGTCCATATAATTCATCGTCCATATGAATAGGAACAGGACATCTGTTAATTTCTGATTTCTCCTCAGCAGACTCTGAGCATCTTCGGCTCAGTCCCAAAAGGTGCACCCTGCTGAGTGAAATGCCACAAATGCAAGCAGCTCCCAAGTTCAACAACCAACAGCCCGCCTGTGATAGCCTAAAAAGGGGGCCTCCGCACCAGGAGGAACTTAACCAGACAGCCCAAGATAAAAGCCTGGTACTCTCCCGGATGAAGTGCAGAGCTAGAACTGTACATGTGTACGAATGGCTATGATGGGTGAAGACCCTCCGTCCATCTAGTGTGGCACCCTGTAGACCCAACCCTGTTGGAACCAGAAAACCCTCAATAAGTTGCCAAGATGGCCATTTCCTGTTACGGGCAGGAAGACATAATTGCGATTTTCCACTAAAAGCCTGGTACTCTCCCGGATGAAGTGCAGAGCTAGAACTGTACATGTGTACGAATGGCTATGATGGGTGAAGACCCTCCGTCCATCTAGTGTGGCACCCTGTAGACCCAACCCTGTTGGAACCAGAAAACCCTCAATAAGTTGCCAAGATGGCCATTTCCTGTTACGGGCAGGAAGACATAATTGCGATTTTCCACTGACCCAAACCCTGGTAGAAGTCTTGAGCAAAGGGCTCTCCCAGGAGGAAAATTTGCACTGCCTTGTTTGGCTCTATCCCTTTGGTCATTTGAGTGTGGGATTTCTCCAGATTTACTGGGATTTGCATCCAAACTGGGGCTGAGGAGCTGAGCACCTTCCAGGACCTTCCCTTTTTTTTGGGGGGGGGACTTTTTTTCAATGACTAGAGGAGTACCGTAGCACAAACCCTCAGATGCCACTCTTTTGGATGTAGTGTTTGGGTTCTTCTAAAAAGGAAAAAAAAGTAACTTTGGACCGAAAGCAGGACAAAGTGAATAAAGTCCTATGGGAGGGAGAAAGAACAAGACAGGAACCGTGGGTAATTTTCTACCTGCATGTACTGGGATAAGAGAAGCATCATCTGGATGTCCAGATGGAGTGGGGCTCTTGTTTAGATCAGAGTTGACTACAGATGAATCTCCTCTAGAAATGACCAGAGGGAACTTGTGAAAGCAATTAGACAGATGCATACGTTAGCCATCAGGATTCGTGGAGGATTTTGTCTGGGCCATATTTTTTAGCAAATCCGCTGAAATCTATATATACAGGATAAACAGGGTGACCCCTGTAGAAAAAGGAATAAATGGAGACAAAATTAGAAGAAAAATGGCAATGTTCAAAAACTAGAGGGGTGAAATGTCAACCTCTCAGAAAGACTGGACTTCAAGCAATTTCCAAGTCAGGTTTTGATGGGAAATAGCAGACTTAGCAATACATGGAGGGGCATCATTTGTGATTTCCTGCGGCTTGAAGAGGGGGCCATGTTTTTTAAAAAAATTGTTTGCTTTTAATGGCACTGCATGTGCTAATCCGCTAGAAGTATTAATGGAAGAATACCTGGGCTAACAAAAGTCAAAGACATTGTTCCATTGCCACTCAAGACTGAGCACATTATTGAAAAGAGTGGGTCATAACTTGAAAAACTTCAGCCGGCTAAAAAAGGCAGAATATTTTTTGCGTCCTGACTCATGGCCCTGTGGTTAGAGTGAAGAGATACAGGATTCTGCTCAGATTATAGAAGTCTGAATAAAAACCCCATTGATGGTGATGGTGATTGGTGAAGCATCCATAAGAGATCCACCCAGCCATCCACGTGTCTCCAGGGAAATTCAGCATCTGCTCTGTTTGGCACCTCCTCTCTTTCTGTCTTTAACCACATAAGAATTTTCATAATATGACCAACAGCCCCAGATAGAAACAAGCCGAGAGAGAGAGACAACATTGAAGCATGCTTGGTTTGTAGTCCTCTGTGAAATTGTTATCACAATGCAAACGCATTGGCTATTTTAAGCAGCAATTCCCACAACATCCTTAAGTACTTTCTGTTTGCAAATTTAACATTAAGAAGTTGGCACACATCTGCATTTATAAACTTAAAAAATGTATGCCCTCCCAGATCTCTATTTATAGAATTTTAGCACTATGTTTATAAATCACTAAGCAGTCATATGCTACACATGAACTTAAGTTTGTCTTAATTGGTTTGACATAAAATACAATCTTGGAAAGAAGACATTTATGGGTGAATGTAAGAAAAAAAATGGATACAGGTCAGAAGCTGACGGATTCTTGCATTTCCCACCGGTGGCCATGACAGCTTAATAAAGCCTCCATGTTCAGAAGCACTAAACCTTTGAATAGCAGATGCTGAGGCCAAAGTAGTTTTCATGGCCTGTTTGTGTGCTTTCCGTGAGTGCAGGGCAAGGAGCTGCTGGAAAGAGAGGGCTAAGTTCCACAGGTCTTGGCTATGGCTCCAGAAGGCAACGTTTAGCTTCTCAACAAGGTTATTTCCTAGGCTTTCATGAAAAATAATCTTTGAGAAACCTATTCTACGTTCACCTTTTCCCACTCTCTTTCTTGCTTCCAGGAGACTTACAGGAGAAATTTAGCAGCAATAAAGGCCAGCGTTTCAAGAGAAACGTGACCTCAATTGTGTGGTTCGGCCGTTGTTAGCCAAGTAGGGATTTCCCACGATAAGAAGTTGAAAAGTGGTTTTGCGGCTGACAGAGAAGATCCAGTTGACACACGAAGAAATCCCTCACCACTGCTGAGAAGGGTGTTGAGAGATAACAGCTTCCCATCTTGTGGATTATGTGATCATCCTCACCTCCGAAGGAGGAAACCAGGCTCTTACGAAAAGAGAGGAGGAAACATGAACGCAGGGATTAGCTTTCTTCATGCTGAAAGCCAGGGACAGATACGTTGCGGAGGTAAAGCAGAAAGTGCCAGACGGCAACCGCCCCACTCTATCGCTGTTGCTTACCCAGATACCTCCATTAGCATGAGAGCGGATTTACGCCATGCCACTTCCATCTCTTCAGCATCACCTCCAACCTCTGGGCATCAGAGCAGTGTTGTCCTCCAGCTATTCATTGGAGTTCTCTTTGCAACCTTGCATGCTC